CAAACACAGAAGCAACAACTACATTAACAATAATGATCGATGACGATCATGAAAAAGACAGTGACGACGGCGACAGCGCAACGACAGGGGACCAGCGAGCAGCGACAACAGCTTTAGCCGAAGTGTAAGTAGTTCACTACGATAAAGGCACTACAAACAATCGAACAACAAACAAAAAACAACCTGTTAGCTTAATATGATACCTTGCTGCAATGGTTAGCCTTAACGTTATTTGTTTATTTGTGTCTTTTAAAAACGCCCCCATTTTATCCACCTTATTCGCAAACTTGCAGCAAACTGCACACATACAGTAGTTGAAGGCCACGGCTCCTCTTTGGTCCTTTGACTTACAGCATTGATTCCAGACAGCTGCTGTGAGAGTTGCAACATGATGGCGACAAAGATAGGCTGACGGTAGTTGGGGGAGCGGAACAGCTCAGGGATGGTCACCTTCTTCTCCCTCATCATCCGCTGGCTCTCGTCCTTCATCTCTTGCATGTCCTCACTCACCTCATCAGTGCCCCGCAGCTTCATCAAGACTGGAGGACAGTAGTGAAGTTACATCTATGTCTGGAATGGGATTTATAAAGCTGCCGCACACTGAGGGTCCACAGTGTGCTTGACAGGATATATGTGGTGAAACGATGGATGCTAACTAACCTTTCAGGTAGCCATTGGTGCAGTAACTTGTGAGAAACTTGTGTGAGTTGGGTATTTGAGCACAGTGAACATATTATTGCATTACATTATTGCTTTTACTCTTGCCAATGTTATGTTGTTCAAAACTGTGTTTTTGTGAAATGTGTGTATCTGTGTGGAAAATGTGTGTGTATCTCACTGCTGCGGGCTTTGCTCTCCTCGTTGCAGTTGATGAGAAGGTATCGGGGGCTCTCAGGGCAGAAGGGCAGCAGGCCACACTGCAGGACAGCCGGCAGCAGAGTAAAAGCCAACAGGATAGGCCACAGGGAGGTATTCCCCATGATGGATTCAATCCCAAAGATCTACACGACACACACAACACACCACTTACATATACTGTAACACAGTACACTGAGCATAATATTTGTTACAAGTTATAAACTCAGCAGTCAAGAACATCCTTTAACAGCACTAGTATGATTTTCACCAGGAGCTGCAGCAAAGTGCCCGCCGAATGAGCAAATGAAAATGTGAAGTTTCATTGATTACTCGGTTAATTTTTTCCTTTATTGCCTTATATGTTTCCTTTACATTTTGCTCTTAAATTTCCAGATTTGTGAAGTGCAATGTGCTAATTGCTTGTCAAGTTTTACCGGGTAAATTTAGTCAGTACGTTTTGTTTTTACAAGCATGAAAGGATCTATGACCTAAATTTCATTATAAAACCTTGTGTTGTAAAATGACAATTTAAGAATGTTGTGTCCCTCTTTTTTGTGGTTTTAATTATACATTGCAAGATGTTTGTATGTTTCTTAACTTTCTTTGTTGTTATTTTCAGAACATCAAATAATGTGTAAAATCTTCAATCATACAGTTTTAATAATGTCCATCCAAAGACTTAAAAAACAATGTGGGTGAGTGGTGGGGTGGTCAAATCCTGCTCAATGCCCTAAAAAGCCTTGCACCAGCCCTGCCATCTCCAAACTGTTATCCTAACAGGCCGGTATTAACAGTACTAACATCTCCAACCCTGACGGATACATTATCATAAACATTATCTTTGATGTGCAGCCAAGCATTGCAGAGCCTTTAAAACAGGAGTGGGATGAGCTTGTTGTTTTTTTTCCCAATTAAAACTCTGGTTTATATCATTCAGGTTTACAGATTTTTTGGGAGACTGTGAACCTTGCATTGCAGTCACCAAGCCTACTTGTAATAAAAGCATCTACAAGCTTTTCTGCAGGGGTGTAGAATAGAATAGAATAAACTTTATTGTCCCTGAGGGGAAATTTGTCTTGGGCACAGTGCTACAGTTTGTTGCTTCTCACAGACACACATCAAAAAACAATATTAAACAAAATCAACATAAAAACATGGAAGACACTATACATTTTAACACTGATAATGTGGCAGCTTAAAAAGAGACTGTCAGAGACTATGAGAATTAAAGTGGTGTAGTGGTAAATACTAAGGTGGGTAAACTTTAAAGGTCCAGATTTAATGGCATATAGTAGTGTAGGTGCAGAGTGGAGGTCTCTCAGTTCACCCTCCCCTTCCAAGTGCTAAGGAAAACTACAGTGACCACACACATTCATGCAGCCAACGTGCACCATCAGTGTGAAGCTTTAAATTGTCTCATTCTAAAGCTACTTAAGGTGGGAAATGAACAGTGCAATCATGGTTCAAGTGTTAAGGAGCTCACCTGTGCTGTGAGAATGCCGATCACTACGCCAAGCTGATGCAGAGTGCCTAATGCTCCGCGGAGAGATGTGGGGGAGATTTCCTCAACATAAATGGGTACAAAGCCAGTGGAGAGGCCAGAGTAGAGACCCACTATGAAACGTCCAGTGATGAGCATCTCAAAGGAATCAGAAAGCTTGGAAAAGCCCATAAAGGCAGCAGCAACAAAGGCGAGCACATTGGCCATGAGCATGGAGTTTTTCCTTTAGAGATAATAAGAGCATTCATCAAGGGTCTGTTTGTTATTTTTAAAGGAAGATGTGATTCATAATGTTGTTCATGGGAAGAGTCATACCTGCCAAAGCGGTTGACGAAGAGGCCGACAGAGAAGGAGCCGAACATTCCTCCTACAGAGAAGATGGCCACAGAGAGCGACCACAGAGCTGTTAACGTGGTCTGGGAAATGGGCTCTGTAAACCTCCTGGTCCATGTCTCATTGTAGAAGCTCTCGATGATCTAAAACACAAAGCAACATACAGTAGGCTCAATGTGTAAGATGAAAAAAGACATACTAAACTTGCTTGTGTTTTCTTTTGTACCATTGATTTAGTCCACACTGAATATTTCTAATAACTATTGACCTCAGTATCCCTGACTTTGGTAGCATCATCAAGTTGATATTTTTTTTACTAATCGATGAATTGCTATGACATTTGGTTTATGGTTCCCAGAGAATGAATCCTACTAACTTTGGTGACCCTTTGACACCAGCAGGTCAAAGTTTTTACTGTCCAGTACTTTGGTCAAGTAATATAGTAAACATTATCATAGTGCTAATTTGCTATTGAACAGTCACAACCATCAGTGTGAGCATGTAAGCATGCTGATGTTAGCTCAAATCTCAGCTGTGCCAAAGTACAGCCACAAAGAGCTGCTAGCATGCACTGAATCAACATGGGAGCAATCATTTCAAATCAGATTTCCTCCTTTGATAGTGATTTTTCCTGAGACAATGAAATCTTAATACCCTAACAGTGATACATGGAGTGAAAGTAATGATGTAGTGATACTTTACACTTCTTTATTTTTGGTTCTCTTTGGTACACTAAGTGGCCATGCACTAAAGCCACAAACTACAAACTGCTATTATTCACCATAAAATGTCCCAGTATAGAAAAATAGCAGATTTGGCAAGGGAACACCACTATGCATCATTCTATTCTTATTTTCCCACATTGGATCATCACATTTTATTACCACGATAAACTAAAGAGGTCAAATGAGTTTAAGCATTGGTCCATATGCAAACACAACATCTTTAACTTGTCTTCTTCCAACAAACTGCAGCATTATCTCATTAACCTGCTGTATGTAATTTCAGATTTCTGTCAGACTACCTTCAGGGGCCATAGACAGATGCAGAAGCTTGTCAGTTACCTTAACAAGAAAAAACAAACATCCCAGGCCAGACTCAAACCAGTGACATTGTTAGCATCCTAAAACCTTTCTGTTGTCTTTATAATGATGTGAGTTATATCCATTTTAACTGAATAATATATTTGTGATGTTTTCTGTGTGTGTGAAATGTACTACACAAATAGAGCTTGCATTAAGTCTAGTTGAAAGGCTTGTTGGAAACAAAAATCCTTTCAAAATAAATGAGCGATGCAGGATGAATTTCTGCACTGTTTGTGTGCCATGATGAAGGAACAAACTATGTTTTCTATGCTTTATTAGTTTCTACTACTTCTGATATTTTTATATTGTTGGTGCGTAATTTCTACTGGGGATGTGGGGAATGTCCCTCTCACTTTTCAAAATGTCTGTTTTGGTCCCCCTCACTTCATATACTAAAAGACTAAAAAGATTTTAAACCGTGTCCTCTGACTGTCCAACCACCAAACTCTAAATGGGAGAAGCTCTTAGTTTTTCAAAATCTAAAATATTAATACCATTGTACATGTACAATGAGATTCACTGTACCATACCAAGTTATATAGCAGAAAAGCATATATAATATAAACATAGAATGCCACTCCCCTGGTGTAACAGTCCACATACTGGAAGAATGTGGACTGTTATTGAGATAAGACTATTGACCTACTGTATGCAAACGTTAAGGACGCATACAGCGCCACCCCTCTGCCTGCACTGGGGAAAGCTGATCACAACCTGATTCTGCTTCAGCCTCACTATAAACCAAGAGTGAGGAGACACCCAACAAATGCGCTATTCATTCAAATCATGACAATCCACTGGCATCCACTGCACAGCCACCAATCTACAGGCCAGAGGAGCAGCTTCAGCACCAGGCTGCTGTCACTTCTGCTCACTGAAAGACTAAGGAGACATTCCCCCCACGCCATGAGGCTTTTTCTCCACCCAGGGAGGGAAACTTGTAAAACTCTAAACTCCAATGATGTCTGCCCCTGTAATCTAAACTATACCAACCAGGACGGCAGTGCACCTTGCATTATGTGAACTACCACTTATGCACCTTAGCTTTTCAAGCACGTGGATTTGAAAATGCACCTTAGGAACTTACCCAATGCTTCGTTATTTAGCTATTATTCTACTTTATTTTATTAGTTCTTTTAATCCGCTGTTGTTGTGTTATTATTATTATTATTAATTATTATCCCAGTTTTGTGGGATGACTGCTGAAACAG